AAAAAAAAAAAAAAAAAAAAAAAAAAAAAAAAAAAAAAAAAAGGGTGAAAAGTGACTAATCCAGGGTAGTGGGATCTGACCCTTAGTCAGGGAAGGGGGCTAAGCAATTGAATGAACCTACGCACAAACACGTTCAGATTCAGGCGTTTTTCCAAGGCGCACTGTAGCGCTGAATCTACTTTGTCTTCATTGGCCGTTGGCAAGGTGGGGAGCGGGGCGAGGAGAGGAAAGGTCCGAATGGGTGAGAGGGGGAGGACCTCATCTTCCCGAAAGCAGGGGAGACTACCAAGCATCCAAGAGGATGGATGACTCGCATGAATCTGGATGTGTTTTTGTACAGATGCATACAAGCAATTGAATGAGCTTCCGCACAAACACTTTCGCACAGACACTTTTACCTTACTCGGTTGCTAGTGTAACCGTGCTCAGGGCCAGCTGCACTCGCACAGTGTTCGTGAATGCACTGCGAATTTGTCCCTCGGTCTGTGTGTGTGTGTGTGTGTGTGTGTGTGTGTGTGTGTGTGTGTGTGTGGAAGAGAGAGAGAGAGAGAGAGAGAGAGAGAGAGAGAGAGAGAGAGAGAGAGAGTCACGTCGACGGCCTCCGAGCTCATGTGTGGCATGTCGACAGCCTCCGAGGTCATGTGTGGCACGTCGACGGCCTCCGAGCTCATGTGTGGCACGTCGACGGCCTCCGAGCTCATGTGAAGCTGCCACAGAGGTGACTCACAGCGGCAGCTGTCGATTCTGATGTTCAAGAAGGCGGCCGCCTTTTGCAGTACTTTCAAACGTCAACGTCCTCACCAAAAAAAAAAATTATTATGTCTTTTAAATTTATTTATTTCTCTTTTCTCAACCTGTCGCACAGGTCATAATAGTCCATGACTCTTTTGCTAGTGGAACCGTGCTCCGGCATGACAATAATCGTTACTCCTTTTTCAACAACAAAAAAAAAAGAGAGAAATAGTCCATACCATATATTGTGCAACAAAAAATAAAAAATAAAAAAGGGCACTGGCGTTGAGATATCATCATTGCGCTGACCGGCCCCACCGGGGTCAAGTCCCACCAGCAGGCGTTGAGTTTCCTCAACGCATGAATCTGGATGTGTTTGTGGAGAGGTGCTGTTGAGGAAACACAACCCAATTTCTGCACATCTCCAACAAACGCCCAGATTCAGGGGCTGATGAAACTCGACACTGCTAGTGGGACTTCGCCCCAGATTTCAGATTTTTCTTTTTTTCTTTTTGGGAAAAAGCAAGAATTGACCAACATGTCTGGTTTTACTCGTCAAGTTCATCCCTTAAAAAATAAATAAAAAAGAAAAAACAAAGTTTGAGAAAAAGAAAAGAAGAAAAATAAGGGCCCATTCTGCTTTCTTCTGAACTCACCTCCACACGTGAGTCAGACGCAGCCTCACGAATCCCGCAGACAGATTGTGCCTTCACAAAGGCGCCACCTAATTGGAGAAAAACGGAAAACCGAATGATGAAACACAGCCCGACAAAACCCCTTCCGCACCCTTTCTCACAAACGACAGGTCTCCACTGCCCATCTGTTCTAATTCCGGGTGCCTACCCTGTACTTTGGTAGCGAGATGATTTCCCACGCCTTTAATCCCTTCTTCTTAATGTCTCCCCCTATCGGAGGAACTCCCAACGCCTGACTACCGGTACACGCCCGACGACCATTGCAGTCCACGACACAAAACGACTGTGTACCGCGCAGGGCAGGGCGCGGGAGCGCAGCCAAACGGGAGCGAGGAGCAGGACAGGCGAGGTGGCCCTTTTCTCACTCCTCCCGCTTCCACCACCATCGATCGACCGCCGTGGACTCTGGGCCTTGCCACACCACTCTCGAAATGTGAAAGAAAGACAAAAAATGTGGCGGGTGCATCTGGCCATGTTCTAGCGAGAAGTTCATTCCCATTTTGCAAATTTCGAGAATGGTGAGGCTATGCCCTGAACCTTACCTTTGGGCCTCACTGCACTACTAAGCACATGCACAAAAGACAAAAACTATGGCGGTGTATACTTCCATGTTCTAGCGGGAAGATTCATTCATTCACATCACATTTTGCACAGTGGTGGAGCGAGGGCGTTTGGCCATCCCTTCCGTCACTTATCACTTACTAGACCCCGCCTGGCCCAAAACAACCCCAACCACCCGCTCCCCCCCCCCCCTTCAAAAATGAAGGCCGAAACCAAAAAAAAAAAAGCGTTCACCCCAAAAAAGGAAAGGTCGGGCGACGCCCGCCACGGCCAAACAACGACCTATGCAACCTACCCTCGGTCGCCCTTGCTCCAACCTCTGAGCCGACCGTTTTGGCTACCGGTCTGTGCCCTGCCCCCGACCGTGCACCTTGTAGACTCCCCATAAGCACCGTTAGGACTCGTCCACACTTCCATAAAAAGGACGCCCCGCTACACGACAAAGTGCAACGGGGTAAGATGCAGCCTTTGGCTGCGAACAAAAGACAACGGTGGTAAACGCCCGTAGGGGCTGCGAACTACGGGCAGCCCACCCGTAGCCGCACACCCGGGACAGGCATCCCAAACAACGTGGTGGAGGGTGGGTGCTTGCTAAGGGTTACCTCAAGTACGACTCTCAGCACGTACTCACGCCACCAAGGTAGTACTTTCCTACTAATAAATGTATCCAAAACGCGGATTACGAAGAGACGTGGAGTGGATGAATCTGACCGCAATTACGTTCGGAGTTTTCCTATAAAAAGTCCTTAGTGTGGGTATGTGGGGGGTAAATGAGTTAAACAGGGAGCCGGGCGGGTCTATAGGGAGTGGCGGTTGTGGTTTTGTCGAAAGGCTAAATGGGCCTATTAAGATAGTTGTTGTGGTCACAAGAAGTAGTGACAGACGTTAGTCGATAGGAGTCCGACACTTGGTAGGCATTAGGAGTACTGATGTTACAAGTGGTGTATTGGCTGATTCCTTACGTTTCGTTTGAAAAAAAAAACGTTTTAAAATAGAAGCATCGGGAACTTATGAATTCGGCAAGTGGGCGAAGAGTTGGGCGTGTTGCTTAAAAAAGTGTGGTACTAGTCCGAATTATGAACGTAGCCATAGGTTTTGAATGAACGGCCTGGGACTTACCAGTAGGACTCGGAACTAAGAGTGAATTGTAAGTTTTTAGTAACCGATGAATGACGATAGACGGTTTCGACTGTGCAATAGGCTAGTGTAGGACTAAGTGTCAGGACTTAAGCTTTGCACTTTCCTGTTTGTTACCAAGACCCCTGATGAGTCTGACGCGGCGGTCAGATGAAACCGGTCGGGTCATCGCCGAAGCAGAACTTTGTTCAGCCATAGCTGCTTGAGTATTGATTCTTCTTGTGAATGCAACAGGTCACGTTCGGGTTCATTGTAAAGCTGGTCTGGTTTCTTTGTCGTGTCCAGTCCTTTCTTGGTGTCGTGTGTCTCTTGTAGTGAGTTCATGTCTGAAAGCTTGACCATTGAGTTCATTGAAGTATCTCATACTTTATTTCACGAAGTAACCGACGTAGAGTTTGAACTACAGTTTGGTGGCTTCGAGTCAGTCAGCACGATGGCTAGCAATCAGGGCAATTCTCAACCAAGGAATGCAGGATGTTATAACTGCAGTCAGCTAGGTCATATAGCGAGATTCTGTCACCTACCAGATAAGCGGTTGGATAGTCAGAATGCATCCACCAGTACAACTATTGTCCCGCATAATCCTTCGTACGTTAACAGCACGGTAGCTCATCAACCTCCGGAGTATTCCTACTACAATGGTGGTTATTCCGGAGGAGGAGGTCTTTGGCAGAGGGTGTCTAACCTTGAGGACCTTATAGCTAAGATTAAAGGTAAGCACGAGGCGGATGAAGTGAAGGAGAAGGCAACTTGGGAAGAAGAAGAAAAGAAGAAGAAAGAGAAAGAAGAGGAGGAAAAACGGGAGAAAGACAAGCGAGAACGAGAAGAGATGCACTCGGTATTTGCCAAGGAAATGAACTCCAGGCTGGACGTGATCAGCAACGCGATTGGTGGGAAGAAAGACAAGGAGGATAACGAAGTGGATAGACTAAGGGAAGAAATCGAGTGATTGAAGAAGAAACAACGAACGAATGAAGCATCTACGTCAATGACGGACAGGAGGCTGTCACGATGTTGCAAAAGGAGATCTCGAACATGCGAAAAGCGTCTGAAGCAAGGTTTGGTCTACTGGAAGATGAGATTGCTAAGGAAAAAAGGTTGAGCCAGGAGGCAGTGGCCGACGCGGAAGCATGGAAGAGTGAGGCGCTGCAACCCGGGAACAAGAGAGGTAGTTTGGCGGTCGGGGCGTCTCCGGTCACGCTAGCGAGGGTGCGACCCATGGTAACGCAGACATTGACTCCTGAAGGTACAAGGAGGGTGGTGGATGAGCATTATAAGAGTGTGGTCAAGCGCCACGGAATGGAGGTTGACGTACTTCAGGAGATGAGAATGAAGGAAGTTAAGGCCAAACGAGATGCGGAGGAGGAGTTGGCGAAGGTGAGGGAAAAGCAGTTAGAGGATGAGCGAGAAATGGACAGACTCCGTAAGCGAATGAGAAGTTTGGAAGTCGAGAGAGGATGTCGGGGGTCGGTTACAAATTTAAAACAGCAGTTGGACGAGGTGGTGGATGGTCGTTGAGAAAGACCGATAGGACGAAGAAGTTTGTTAGTCCGGCCGGTCATGTTAGCGAGAGAGAGAAGTTTCTAAGGAAAGCGAGGAAGGATTTGAAAATTTTCAAGAAGGAAGAGATTCAAGGCATTTGTGACAAGGAAGGAATCACATACGAAAAATTGGATGTTACGACTCAGAGAATAGATAGCTAAGTTACGAACGGCGCGAGAGTTTGAGGAAGAAGGAGGGAAGGGCAAGCAAGCAGTCGTGCACGGCGTGTCGGAGGATGGCGAAAATGAACCGATTGATGGTGGTGATTCGACCACTTCTTGAAGTCGGCCCCGATCGTGACTGACACGTGGAGGTTATTAAACTACTGTTGTAAGTTTCGTTCCATATTTACTGCGAGACTGAGATGTAGAGTGTTGAATGTTTTTGTGAGTATTCTATGTTGTCTACTGATTGTCGGAGGCCAGATAGCATGGGGGGAGAAGTTGGTGAGTTACGTTATTCAAGCTCAAAGTGGGGTTTTTGACATTGGGAAAGGGAGTGGACCGGTTGTGTATGCCAGTGCTTTGTTCTCACCTTGGTGTCGTCACCTCTACGTTAGAAGTAGTGGTCAAGATACATTCACAAGATGGGGTGAGCACGTATATAGATGTGGTCAGGTAACGGGGATTCAAGAGGGGAAGAGGAATGAACGATTGTACCGATGGTTGAGAAGATGGGGAATGCGTAAGTATGTTATTATTCCACCAGCGTTGTGCTCAGCCGAAGATCTGTTGGAGACCGAGGATTTTTTCATTCGGAAACTGTGTCCATCTTTGAACACGCGGGGTAAGGGTCGGCGGGGGAAGCAAGTCCGACCAGGTTGCAGGGAGAGAAGGAAAGCCAAGAAGAAGGAGGGAAAGTTGGAGAGCAAGAAAAGCAATGAAGGCGGCTTGTTGTCCTTCTGTACTACCTTTGGTTTGAAAATGGGTAGTTCGCTCAAAATCTTGGAACACTGCAAAGTGCATTCGGTACACAGTTGTATGATCTCGTGTAAGGGCGGTAGTCATTTTTTTGACCGATGGAAGGTCCTCAAACGCAAGTATGGTGGCAGTATTGTGCGATGTGGGTCGGGTACAGGCTAGTTACGGTATGCTCGCGAGTGGTTGAAAGATAGGGTGATTCTGACCGTGTTGTCGGTAGTTCCCTTCCTCAGTAAGTCATTAACGTTTAAAGCTCTGTTGGTTGAAATACTGCAATGTCCTATGAAACGGAAATAGTTAGTTTTGTGGGAGCTTGAAAAGTTGATATATGCTTATACGGCTATTAGGACCTTCGGAGAGAAACGAACAAGATGCAGGTTGTGTTACTTTTTGTCCAGTACCATTTTTGGAGGTTTTGGGTTACGAGTTAGACAGCGTCTGATAGTCAAACTCCCCTATGATGAGGTTCTAAGTAAGAGCAAAGTCCGGATCCTGTGTGCTAAGCTCATAATGAAGTTAGATGTGTCACATGTGTAGAAGGAAATGCTGGTGCGAAGGATGCGGGTGGTTTGGTGTAAGAACAAGACAGTTGGGGACAAAATCATAACTACAGGAAGGTCTGTAGAGAAAATGCCTTTGACTGCGTATGTGAGGGGGTTGATCCGGGTTTCGTACGGGTGAACGGGCATGTATCGTGTTGACTGAATGAGGTTGATGATCTCCCTGGATGGATCAAGATGTCTAAAAATGTGTTACGACCAGCGCACTCCTACAGGGTAAGGGCTTTAAATAATAATATACAAAAGGTTTTTTTCGTTTTTTTTGCTTTTTCCTCCCTTCCACCGATTGAAGATGGGATGATTGCGGATTTGAAAGGGTGTTCTTCAGTTACCACAGGGGAGGTTTGCAAGGGTATTAGTGAGTCTGATCTGAAGCCCTTTGAGCAACTGCTGGGGGAATTGGTTTGCTGTCCACTAGACCACAACATGAGAGACACGTTTGTATGTTGTCTGAAGGTCTATGGGCAAGGAATGGAGACGTTGTTCTTTGGAAATCCTTTATTTGTGCACTGTGATGAAGAAGAAGTGCAAATTGTGGAGAGATTTGCGAAGGCATCTGATGATGCAGGTTTGAAAAAGGTTAATGCATGGAACAAGAAAGGTACTTTGGAGAAGTCGTACTGTATTCCCAAGGACAAAGATACCATGAGATGGAGGCCCATTTCTCCTTCCTACCCAGAGGGGTCAGTGCGTGGAGGGAAGATGGTAGCTCGGACAATCAACTTGATGTTGTGGAATCTGCCGAAAGGCTCTCATTTGAACATTTGAACATGAAGAGCGTTAATTCTCTGATTAAGCAGATTACGAAAATTAATGGGAAACTGGGGAAGAGGAATGTTTTGATAGGGGCATCGTTTGATATAAAGAAAATGTTTTCAAACTTGCCGCACGGGTCCATATTGAGAGTCGTCGAATGGGTCATTGATTTTTGGAAGAAAGAGAGCATGAAAGGCGTGGCTGTGAAGAAACAGGGAAGAGGGGCAAAACTGCTAAGGGGAAAAGTAGAGGGAGGATGCCACTTTTTGACCTTTTCTGATATTGTGGCGTTTGTCTGTTTTGAACTGAAGAATACATATATTATGGCAGTTGGTCGACGACTGCGTCAGGTGGTCGGAATCCCCATGGGAAAATCATCCAGTCCGGCATTGGCGTGTTTGTTGTGCGCGTACAATGAATATGTTTTTTTGAACAGTTTGGGCGGGGACAGGAAGTTGTTTAGAGGATTTCGGTTAGTCGATGACGTTTCCGTGTTTGCGTACTACAAGGGGGGTAACCAACTGTCAAAGAGGAACAACGAAGGATTGATCGCAAAATTCGGTAATTGCTATGATTCTAACCTGGTTTTGGAGCAGACCAATAGAGGTAGTTCATGGGACTATTTAGGTTGTGTTCTGAGTATCGAGGAAGTAAAGGAAGAGATTCTGTGTTACCACTTACAAAGAATCAAAGGGAGCCTCAGGGATTTAACGGCAAGTTAATCTTTCAAAACGTGCAAGACTATGTCTCCTATTCCAGTAGACGACAAAAAATGGTTGTTATCGTTTTTTTCTTACATCGAGTAAGGACCTACGCTTCAACGAGTGGTGCGGAATTACCTTTTTTTATCGCGTTGAAGAGTGAACTTTGGAGGAGGGGGTATCCGGACAAGATGTTTGATACAACAATGGTGTCTTTTTCATGGAAGTTCGGAGGCCTATGGGAAAACTGGTTGCCTATCCTGACAAAATGGAGGAGGTTTGAGAAATGGGCCGGGGATTCTCGGGGTTGTCGATGGGAGTAGTGATGTTACAGAAGAAGGGGGTATGTGGGGGGTAAATGAGTTAAACAGGGAGTCGGGCAGGTCTATAGGAAGTGGCGGTTGTGGTTTTGTCGAAAGGCTAAATGGGCCTAGTAAGATAGTTGTTGTGGTCACAAGAAGTAGTGACAAACGCTGGTCGATAGGACTCCGACACTTGGTAGGCGTTGGAAGTACTGATGTTACAAGTGGTGTATTGGCTGATTCTTAACGTTTCGTTTTAAAAAAAAAAAACATTTTAAAATAGAAGCATCGGGAACTTCTGAATTCGGCAAGTGGGCGAAGAGTTGGGCGTGTTGCTGAAAAAAGTGCGGTACTAGTCCGAATTATGAACGTAGTCATAGGTTTTGAACAGACGGCCTGGGACTTACCGGTAGGACTCGGAACTAAGAGTGAATTGTAAGTTTTTAGTAACCGATGAATGACGATAAACGGTAACTGAGGCGAGATTCAGGAAACATTATGCTGACGGACGTGGACTAGTTGGTAGGATTTCACCAAAGTGACGGCTCGGATTTTGTTTCGACTGTGCAATAGGCTAGTGTAGGACTAAGTGTCAGTACTTAAGCTTTGCACTTTCCTGTTTGTTACCAAGACCCCTGATGAGTCTGACGCGACGGTCAGATGAAACCGGTCGGGTCGTCGCCAAAGCAGAAGTATGTTATGCCATAGCTGCTTGAGTATTGATTCTTCTTCTGAATGCAGCAGGTCACGTTCGGGTTCGTTGTAAAGCTGGTCTGGTTTCTTTGTCGTGTCCAGTCCTTCTTGGTGTCGTGTGTCTCTTGTAGTAGTTCGTGTCTGAAAGCTTGACCATTGAGTTCATTGAAGTATCTCATACTCATACTTAGTGTGAGTATGCCCTAAAAGTGAGGACCCTTGAGCGCCACGATCGTGAGCACAATACAATGCACGCCCCTCGGCAACGCTCTTTCTGCTACCGGTAGCTTAGCACGATTACAGCAAAAGTGGGCCCTCCGAGCGAAGGACCAGGCCCCATTGGTGCTATTCAGGCCCATAGTTGTGTTGGGAAAGCATTTCCAGGTCCCATTGCTGCGATTCCAGCACGGACACTGCACCAGTCGGAAGGCCTACGGTACCAGGGCGTATTGAGATGTGCCCTCGCTCGTAAAATGCGAAGTTGATTTCTCGACCGTCAATACCTGCCCCTATTTCCGCGCTCCGTTCAGGCTGACTTCAAGTCGTTACAGTGCCCCCGTCCTCATCGGTTAGTTCCTTGATCGGACGGTAACGAGTTCATTACCAGGCCACCGACGTGAGCTGTTCGAATCAATATCGTATGGGTGGCACGAATGTGGACCCTTCCCATCGCGTGCTTTTTTTTTTTTTTTTTTTCAATCTAAGCGCCGTATATTTTGCTCTCCCAAAGAAAAAATAACAAATATGTATATATCTATATGTTTTTTTTGGGAATTCTTCCCTTCTATATTCTTCTCTCAACTTCTGTTTTTGCCTTTCACTACCTACCTACTCCTTGCGCTCACCTCACATATTTTTTAACTGGCGTTCTGCCATGTCGTCATGGAACAGATCTTTCCTTCACTACCTACCAGGCTACCACTGTTCCCAAGGCTATAGAGGGGACCCCTGCAAGCATAGCTTTCTACCACTCTTGGGTGAAGGGAGGTTACCATCGCATGCTTCTTGATTGATGGGATAGGGCCTCCCTCCAGGGCTCACCACAAGCAGAGAGAAAAAGAAAAAGAGAGGGCGGTGTATCTTTCAATGTTTCAGG